TGACATGAGGGGGGGACGTGTGAGAGTACGACGGCTCTGCCTACTAGGATTTACCTTATTATACTGTACATGGCTTAGTTATATTTTCTTATGCATGCTTTTGCTCGTTCTCCTTAGAATCGTTGCTTACGATATATTATTATCGTTATAGCACCGTTCTAGGTTGCGCGCACCGAATTCTGAGCTTTTCGGTTGCCACCGAATTGCTTCTACCGAATTCGGGAAGGGCCCGTTTGGGACGCTTCGCGACCCGCGGAAGCTCCTAGTAACACCCGGGTTACTGGCCTGTCAGAATGTTATTATTGTCTAGCCTGCAGTGGGTTACTCTATAGCGAGTATAACCCAATTAGGGTTTCCTATATGTATGCCAACTGCTGCTAGTGCAAACCCCTCCTTTCTTCATTCTTGTTTCTGCTGCTAGTTCTGACATGGCCCTGTATCGAGCCTATATATAGCCTCGTGTTGTACCCAGGTGATCGTAATATATTTTCCGAACCAGCTCTTCGATTCTCACACTATCTACCTCAGATCCTCATTGTTCAGCCGATTGTGGTCGACTGCGTGAATCGGCACCGTCACTCGGTGAGGGTCGATTGGGTCGGGCGAGCGGTGTGACCTGTTAGTATAGGGCCCGTCTGCAACTGAGTTCCAGCGTTTCCCTGCTGCTTGGTCTGTTTCTGCTGCTTTGCTCCTTCATTTCCCTTAGCTTCCGGGCATTCGCTTTTGCCGTGCCCTGCCGATTGCACGCGAAGCAGCGCCCTTTGAATTGTGCGGCAGCGGCATTCGCGGCGAGGGCGCGTATCCCGCGTAGACACGTGCACCACGCGTCCCACATGCGATACTAGGCGACCTCTACGAAATACGACGATGCACTGGGTCTAGAAGGTCCTTCCCGTGGCGGTAGAGTCTCGTAGTCGCTCGGCTTCGTGACGATGACACGCCACCAATCCATGACGGGTCCTCGCAGCAACGACACGGCATATAGAAAAAAATCACCGCATCCGATGAGTCGTAGTTGGCGTCGAATAAAACGTTCATCGCGAACAGCCATGCCTGAACCGTCGTCACCCCGTTGACTCTGGTCGAAGCATGGCAGACGCTGTAGCTTGAGCGACATCGGTGAAGGGACTGACGAGTCATAAGTCGGCGCCGTAATGTTGACACGACGCTGACTTCCAGCCGCGTTCGTCGCCCCGGGGTGTGTCGTCACGTGGTCGTCGCGAACGTCGTTGCACGTAACGCCATCACTAGCAGCGCTCGAGGGTTGTCCCACGCTATTCTGTCAGGATGTGGATGGTGCTGCCTATGATACCGTCCCTTGCGTCTGTGTTTGCGCTTGTTGTGCCCGGGTGATGTCGTTTTGCAGTGACGCGCGTTTTGCCGTTAATGCCGCAATTTCTTCGCTGCTTTCATGCAATTGACGAGTCAGCTCATCCACGCGCCAGGCTGGCGAGGTTGATATGCTCATGGAGGTAATGGTGTGTCAGGAGGAGGTGGCTCTGGAGGCGGGGTCGGCCCTACAGGTACGATGTGCTAGATTTAAATATCCTAGCATGCTAAGATTGTGACTATACACCAGGTGTACACTTTGTAAATGGGGTGCCAATCCAACACGATGTGGTGGGGCCCCCAATTTACAACCAAGTGGGGTGGTTTGTCCCATCCCCCATGCCCCCTTCTTGTGGTTGGTTAATCCAACCACAATCAAGGACCAATGGTGGGTGGTTCCTTCCACCACTTTGTCCCAACCACCTCTTCTCTTTCACCCTTCTCTTGAGTTCTATGCATGCCCTCGTTCCTATCAATCAATCACTTGATTAAATTATTTCCATACGACGCTGTCAGACTATAATTATATAGTTTGTATTTTTCTAGTCTAGTTGTATTCTTTTTGTCCGAAGTTTAGGGTAAGGGCTGACCTATATCTTGCTTGTTTGTTCATTTGCTAGTCATTCTTACGTTCTCATATTCTAACATGGTATCAGAGCTAGGTTTCCCCTATGCGATTTTAACTTAGGCAATTTTTCTCTCCGATAGCCATGGGCCCACCACCCGCGCACCTCTTACATCCCGTTCACGCCTCCTCGCCCCGCGCCCTGTTCCTCCCGTCGTCCCTTAGAAGGCCAAGGGACCTTCCTTAGAAGGCCCCGCGGCCTCCCTTAGAAGACCCCGCGGCCTCCCTTAGAAGGCCCCGCGCCCCCCTCTTGTAAGGCCTCGTGACCTTCGTTAGCGGGTCGTTCATAAGCGCCCGCCTGCCCGTAAGCGCCCGTCCACCCGTTCGTACGCGTCCGCCCGTAGACACACGCGCGCCCGCATCTGCCCGTACGCACCCGCCCGAACGTACGCATCCGCTCGTCCCCCCCCGCTTCCCGGACGCCAGCACGAGTAGTGGCGACTACAGCGCGCCACTAGCACCGCAGCAGCTAGCGCCAAGTGCAGCAGCTAGCGCCAGCAGCAGCAGCTAGCGCCAGCAGCAGCAGCTAGCGCCAGCAGTAGCAACTGCGCCAGCAACAACAGCAACTAGTGGACGTTCCTTACCACGCTCCACAACACTCAACCTGTCTCACCACTCCAAAACCACTTGTACCGCACAAGGACCGCACCAGAACCACACCAGGCAGGTCCTAGCCCCGTTCTCTACCGCTCCCTACCACTCTAGACCTGTCCCAACCGCACTCGAACTATCTCAACCGCAGCAGGCAGCTCTTAGCCGCACCTGACCGTCCCTAGCCCCACCCGGCCACTCTTAGCTGCACCCGAGCGCTTGTTCCTAGCCCGCCAGCCCTAGCGGCGCACCAGCCCGCCGCTAGCAGCGCCAGCAGCTACTAGAAACGTGCCAGCAGTGCTAGAAGCTCAACAGTTCACGCCCCCACCGCACTAGACCGCGCCCCACCACTCTCCGCCGCATCCGATCGCTCCTAGCCGCTCTCGACCGCACCTGACCACTTCTAGCCCCTACCATGGCGACCACTGAAGTTCTGCAGCACTCCCGGCAGTGGGGCCCTGATGGTCCAAGGAGCGTCAGCCCCAGCAGTGGCCCATCCAGCTGGGGAAATATCCGCGGTGGCCGCGGCGTCAGTACCTGCAAGTACCGGGTCCTGACTGACCCTGGACGTGGCACTACTTGCTGGCGTCCTGACCACTCCGCGTCCAGCTATTACCGTCGCCTCGATAACCTCTACCGTGAACGTTTTGGACCTGACTCGACTCTCCCGCACTGGCCTACTCTGACTCGCCATGGTCATGATATTTATTTGATGTCGATGTCTGAAATTTCTTCTGTGACGTATGCTGATAACTTTAGTACTATCAGGTCTGCTGATCTGCGTGTACCTAGTTTAGGACCTTTGCCGATTGCTAGTGTAGGGACGTGAGCTTCAAGTCTTGGTGCTTGTGTAGTTTCTAGCGTAGATGCTCTTGAGGGTCCTTTTGTAGGACTTGCAGCTACCGCTAGCCTAGTACCTGCCTTTGTCGCTGGCATGGGTACGACCTCAGCGACTGCGCCGCTGTCGTTCACGCTCGACTCTAGGGCGTCCAGCTGTTTCTTCCGCGACTGCACCGACCTTACGCCGCTGCGCACTCCACTCACTATCGCCTTGGCTGACCCCATAGTGGGACCTGTCGTTGCTCACAGTTCACTACTTTCCCGTGTCCGGCGGCCCCCTCTGGGGTCATTACAGGTTACTACACCCCCTCGTTCTCTAGGAACTTGGTGGGTGTCAGTCACCTCCATGAACTCGGTGTCGCCACCCTCTTCCCTACGGACGAGCCTGTTGCCACCTGCACAGACGGTGCCACTGGGGCGCCTCTGGCTAGTTTTCACAGGGAGGTAGGCTTCGGTCTGTACTCGCTACACGCTGGGTCCCACCACACTGTGTTACGAGAGTGACTTAAATATGGCGCCGGGTTTAACTAAGGGCCTAGGCTAGAAGCCTAGGCCAAGCGGGAGTCGAGAGGTTTGTGCCAAGAGAGAATATCGAGAATGAGTGGGTTTCACTATAGCACACAAGGTACATATAGCAAAATGAACAAAGGTGCACCACCAAACAATAGGACCTACACTACAGTAAATCCTACAGGCAATTATATAACATAACATTATCATTATAATGTCTGACACACCCCCGTAACTGCGTGCAGGAGAAAACCTGTGTAGAACACCCCTTGAAGGGGTACACCTGGCGCAGCGGAAGACAGTAGAGGGGTAAGTGAGGAGGAGGAGGCGAGAGAGAGAGAGAGAGAGAGAGAGAGAGAGAGAGAGAGAGAGAGAGAGGGTTCACTGGTGAGTTGGGTTCACTCTCCAAAACCGGCGGCTTGTGCGAGAGAGAGCGAGAGAGAGAGAGAGAGATGGTAAGGTTTCAGTCCTTAGCCGTTTTTAGGCCTCTCTAGTCCTAGACCCAGTCCTTAACCGTTTTTAGCCTAGTTTCCTTAGTATAAAGCACCTGGAGCTAGCCCTTTGAGCTCATTCTTCACTGGTGAGTTGGGTTCACTCTCCAAAACCGGCGGCTCGTGCGAGAGAGAGCGAGAGAGAGGGAGAGAGAGAGAGAGAGAGAGAGAGAGAGAGAGAGAGAGAGAGAGAGAGAGAGAGATGGTAGTAACTCCCTTGTTCTAGGCTCTATACTTGCATGTGTGTACCTCTTTGACATATCAATACAAGGACCATTAGAGAGAGATGGTAAGGTTTCAGTCCTTAGCCGTTTTTAGGCCTCTCTAGTCCTAGACCCAGTCCTTAGCCGTTTTTAGCCTAGTTTCCTTAGTATAAAGCACCTGGAGCTAGCCCTTTGAGCTCATTCTTCACTGGTGAGTTGGGTTCACTCTCCAAAACCGGCGGCTCGCGTCGGCCGCCTTCGGCGGCCGCCGCTCGCCGGCGCGGCCTTCGGCCGCGCGTGAGGTGTGGCAAGGAAAGCTGGGATCCAAATTCACGACGGGTGCAACTAAGGCAACAAGTGCATCATGGAATACTAGGCAAGCGGAGTCACCCGCACAGGTAAGCCCCCACAATGGGGAAAAAGAAACAAGCGCCACGGTCGGCGCCAGGGGCGGCATCTACATCATCCTCACCCGCTGCCCAACCCACTGGAGCAACGAAGCGACCGCAGGGACGAGATCCAACGGGGACTCTTCAGCCGCCGTGGCTACCCGGCGGAAGGCCAAGGCACCAGGGCCTTCGTCCAGCTCAGCATCTTCCGGCTCCAGCGGCAAGTGGAGCATCTCCCACATCGCCTCCGACAGTGCCACCCGGACAACACCCTGCTGAATCTCATCAAGCTGAGGGTCACGCGCGACGAGCATCCGCTCCTGCACTGCGAGGTGGTACTGCTCAAGAACCGTCGCAAGACGTGTCACGAAGCACCGGAGCTGAGACAGGCGCTCCCCACGCTCAAGGTACTCCGTCTCGCCCGGGGCCTCCTCCGCCCACCCGCTCCCCCACCTCCCCACTCGGGGATCATTCGGCCAACCCATGTTCCACCACTCCAATTGCGGGTCCCGGGCGGTCCCAGGCATTGCAAACTCGTCCCACCCGCGGTGCCGCTCGTTTGGCTGCGACGACACCTGGACAGGAGTCACACCAAGGTGTCAGTGATGGGAAGGAGAACCAGACCCAGAGACAAGGGGCAAACGCACGAGGAAAGGCAACGGCAAGGGAGGGAGCGACGGGAGGTAAGGACTCACCACACCCCATCGAGCTGCGGAAGGACGGGACCGAGGAACAAGGGGATGCTGGCGCTGAGGCGGCGGGAGAGAAGGAGCAACCGGAGGAGGAGCGTGAGCGGCGGGAGGGGCTGCGACTGACGGAGCGATCAAAAGGGAAGGCGCCGATGGAGGAGGCGCCGACGGTGGAGGCGCAAGAGGTGGCGCAGGGACCGGCTGGATCTGAGAGGGAGCTAGCACAGGCGGAACGAGCGCCGGAGGCTGCAGAGGCGGCGGGAGAATGGACGTCGGTGGGGGTGCTGGGGATGGCGGCTGGGGAGCGCGCCCACGAGGAGGATGGAACGGACTGGATCACCATGGCTGATGGCGGGGACGCCGGGATTGACGGAAGGGCTGGCCGCGGGGACGCAGGTAGTAAGGCGTTCGACCAGGAGGGGGGTGATACACTGGACCGCCGCGAGAGTCCGGCAGATGACGCGGCTCACGGCCCGATCCGCCGCTCGATTCGGCTTCAACCAAGTCTGCGGCGGCTCGGAGCAGGGCTGGCACCTGGCCTCCCTGGCCCCCTTCGGGGGTGGGAGCGTCAGACCGTCCAACCACGACCTCACGACGAGGGGCCCTCGCGGCCTTACCCGTCATCGGCGTGGGCGGACGAGGAGGGCGAGTTAGAGCTACCGGCGGAGGAAGCGAACCAGGAGGAAGAAGTGCTACGCCTAGCGGAGGCAGAACGCAGGCGGAGGACTGGAACGAGCCGCCAGCGAGCACTGCAGGACCAGGCCGATGATCGCGCAGCAGGCCGTCAGCCGGCAAACGCGGCACCGAGGGCGGCGGGTAGAGGCAGGGGGAGAGGGCGGACCAGGGGGAGAGGCAGCCGAGATCTGGCGGGAGCTGTGGCGAGGGAGAAATCCAGATCTGGTTTCTGGCGGGAACGACACGGGAGGCCAGAGGAACAAGGTGAAGAGCCAATGAATGAAGAAGAGGGGGGGGAAGGGTCAGACTATATGGCATCACAGGAGGCGGAATCAGAAGATGCCTCGCTGGAGGCCGAACGAGGGGTGCCCATCCCAGCCACAGAGAGGGGACAGGGGTCGGGACAGGGACGGAGAGAGGAGGGTGCCGACGTGGGGGAATCCACACCGCAGCAGCCCAACGAGGCTGCCAGCAAGGAGCGTAACCCCACCACCATCGTGGATGATGAGGGCACGTGGCTGAGGGTGCACGCATGGGATCTGGGGCCACTGCAGTCCAGCGCGCAACCCTTCTTGGTCCGGAAGCTTCCACCCGAAATCCTGAAAACTTATAGCATTTGCCTCACCCTCCCACTCCTCCGACTAGCGAAATTTCCGAGTTGCCTGGCGGCGTGGCGAATCTTGCAATACCTCCCGAGGCTGACACTTCGGGCGAACCTCGAGAAAAGTGTCCGTCCGTCCGTCCGTCCGTCCGTCCGTCCGTCCATCCTCTGGCATGACTGGTCGCCAGCGGGTATTCATTCCTCATTGTTGTAAGTGCAAGTGCCAAGCTCATGGCTCTTTCAATGAATGAATGCAATGGATTGTTGATTCCACTGTCCAGCACCCATCTTGGCTGGTTGTCATGCCAGTCTCCTATGCAGCGCAGCACTTCAATATCACCGGACTGTCAGGAACACAGGTACAGTATGGCTTGCACTTGTCAGCCCAACTTTATAAATCAGTTACTTGCATCCAAGTCTCAACAAGTACCGTACAATCACCGAAGTGCTGCACACACTGTATCGCACATGTAAAACCCTTGTGCTCTTACCCCTACTGCTACTCATGTAATGGTTCGGTAGTTCCGTGCTAAACAGCCCACATGTATTCACCATGGGCAAACTCATCGCCCTTTGGTTGGCGTCAGTTGCAGCCAACTCTTGACGCCATCACTTGTCCCTTCCGTTTCTTACAGCTGCTTCCGTTTCTGGATGCTAGCGTCTTGGCAGATTTTGTATGGACGCTAGCATTCACGAAATTGAGTGTGCTTTGACAACGTGGAAGCGGAGCAGACGTGGCAGGTGCGAGAGTGTGGCACATGTACGGTGCGGCGTTTGTGGGAGTGTGTGTTGTGCGAGCGCACACAGTGTGTGCCACTCACAATGTGTCAGCACTCACAGTGTCCTGAGTGGCGTGCGCCTCCCCCAGTGCCATCACCAGGTTCCTCACGCGCACTGCCTCCGCCTCCTGCTGCGCGCCCCCCATCATGCCCGCTGCCACGCCATCACCCGCCCACGACACCTGCAGGCGCCGAGACAAGGGCGGAGTGAACCACAGGGCAGTTGTTTCCCCCCCCACTGCTGCTGCTGCTGCCGCTGCTGCGCTTCGTCGGCTCAGCGCCGTCTCGCCCCGCATGTCCTCTTGCTGCTCCTCCTCACGAGGCTCCCGCGCTGACCGCCCCGTCTGCCCTAACTCTCCCTCTCCCCGCCTGTGCGCTGCCCGTCCCTCTGCTGCCACCGCCTGTGCGTGTGCCAGCAGCGCCACGCCCTCCTGTGCTGCTGCGCCTGCCAGCGCCGCTGCCTGTTCCGCCATACCTGCTGCCTCCGCCTCCCCCGCCGCCACTACTGCTGCTACCCCGCCCTGCGCTGCGCACACCACCGCCGCCCCGCCCACGCGCGCGCCTCCATTCTGCTCGCCCTCTCTCCCCGTGCTCCCCACGCACGTCCTCTTCCGCCGCTCCCCCTCTCCATCGCCGTTCCGCGCCTCACGCCAGCCCCGCCGCCCATCCACGTCCCTCTTTGCCCCCGTCGCCGCCCCCCATGCGTCTCCCCGCACCTCCGCCCCGTCCCGCCCGTCACTTCGCGCAAGTTCCGCCGCGCGTCTATTCCCGTCGCGCGCGCCCTCCGCCAGTCCCTTGAGCACCGCCGCCAGTCGCCCCGTCAGGTCCGCGGGTCGGCAGGCGCTCCCGCGCGGGGCAGCAGCGCGCGCGTAGCTCTGCGCGTCCGAATTGGCGGAGGCCGTCGCGGGCGGCGGCACGACGCCGCGGTGCAGCGGCGCCGCTGCGCCGCGAGGTGGATGCTCTAACTGTTCCGCTACATTCCCGCCTTCCCCCGCCTGCTCCCGTCCTCCCGCGCCCCCGCTGCCGTTGCTGCTGGTGCACACGACTGTCTCGGGAAGGGCCGCGGCGGAAATGAGAGAGGCGGGGCCGCCGCGGGGTAGGGACGAGGCGGATGCCGCTGTTAATGCGGGCGGGGGTTGGAGCTGCTGCGACGGGCACGGGTGGCGCACGGGCGAGCGGGGAGCGGCGACGGCGTGGGGAATGGGCTGGTCGGCAGAGAGGGAATCGCGGCAAGGGAGCTGATGGTGTTGATGGTCGCCGGGGAAGGCCCCGGAACACGAGTCGAAGAACGACGCGTCTAAGGGAGTTGAGTCGAAGAGAAACGCACTGGGGGGAAAGGGATCGAGGGGGAAGTCGAGCGGGAAGGGGTCGATGGGGGGGCAGGCGAAGAGCGCGTCGACGCACACCTCGGCGTCGGCGTAATCCATGGCGCGGGATCGCAAGGGGTCAGTCACGATGACACGGTGGGGCAGGCCCGCAGTTGAGGAGTGGGGATGGAGCGAGCAGTGGTGAGTGAGGTGTCCAGAATTCGAATGGTGCTCCGTGCCTTGGAACGCACAACGGGTGGGTAGCTTTTATGCGCAACGGGCAACACGGGAATCCTGGGCCCAAGGAATGTGACGTCACAATGACGAAAGCACGCTAAATGTCTGAACTGGGGAAGGTAGCATTGACCCAAGTAATTCCCTTACAAATGCGATAATAAAACAGTTTAGGTGCAGAATGCAATAGTTACAAATTTATGTACTTACTAAACTATTTGGACTCTCCTTGTGATAGTACCCACTTTGATCAAAGTATTACAGTTGATGACTCTGACCCATTCAGGCTTCAAGTCTGATACAACATTGATATACGGTGATACCCGTACATCTTGAACTACAAATTATCGACAACAAACTCTCTAACTACCGGTATTGTTGGCCCATTCCTTCTCATTTCATTTTGAAGTCTTATACTAATAACTGACCGCATAAGCTTGACAAGTAGTGGCATGCTACTAGAACTGTACAGGGGCGGCTATGGCAGCAGCAGGCAGATGTGTAGAAAGAGGTCAGGCGCAAGCATGTTGTGTGCGAGCCATGAGAGGGGTGTGTGAGGAGGGATGACCACACCCTGACACACCACCACACACGAGCACACCTCACCGCCATTGCTGCTGCCATCCCCACCGCCACTCACACCACCATTGCCTGGAGCACTGGCAGCAGCAGCCCTACCCTCCCCCTCTGCTGCTCACTGCACCGCCTGCCCTTGTTGATCATCTATAAGCTTCCTCCCTGCTCCTTGCTGCTCTCGCTCACTGCCCTCATCTCCACGCTCTTCGACCCTCTCCGCTCCTACTGGCCCTGCATCCACTGCTGCCGGTGCTGCTGCCGCTGCTGCTGCACTGGCAGCACTGCTGTGCGCGACAAGGGGCACTTCTTCAGCTGCAGCCATGCCGCGCACAGGCAGTGGGGCGAAGCACCGGGCGAGGTGGGGCAGTGCTGCCGCACGAGCCGCACCGATGGTCAGCTCTGTGGGGAATGGGCGAGGGAGGGAGAGCGCGGTGACGCTTGGGGAGCACACATGGGGATGCGGTGGTGAGTGATCCATCATTGCATCATGCCTCCATTCACCATCACCTCAACACCGCCCCGCCCAGTCCCCCTTCTCCCTCATGCACACAGATGAGCATGACCAGGCTGCGCCATGCATTCATACACCATCCTGCTGCCTCGCCCCCACACCCCCCCCCCCCCCCCCCCCCCTCCCCCTCCCTCCCCCCCATATTCCACCGCACTTCTCTCAGTACCTTCCATGCCAGTGCCTGCGGCCCCTCCTGCATGCTCCGCCTGCACCCCCGGCACCACACGCATGGCCATCTCCACTTCCCGCCAGCTCCTCACCCCCCCCACCTCCGCCACCAACCTCCCCTCTCCCGCTGATGCGTCTGCTTCTGTGGCCGCGCCTGCTGCGCTGTGAGGGTTGTGGTGGTGTGGAGAAGCAGCGGCGGAAGGGGGGTTGGAGGGCAGCACCCCGTGGCCGCAGGAGGAGGCGCATGGGGACAGGCGGGAGAGGTGGCGAGGTGGACGCTTGACCGGGGGCTGGGAGAGGGGAGGGGTGGGGTGGAGCAGGGGATAGGGGGAAGGGAGGAAGCGAGGCACGCGGTGGGAAAGTGTGGAGTGGCATGGCAAGCGATGCAAGAGATGGAGTGACAATTTGATGCGGGCTTGGCATTTGCAGTTGCGGCGAGCGGCAGGTCTGCATGGGCTACGGATGGAGGTGGGGGTGGCGCAGAGGTGGTTACCTTGCGAGCCACTGAGAGGGTGCGTGGAGTGGTGGAGGGCAAGCGAGCGCATCGAGGGGGAGGAGGAGATGGAGAGCGGTGGGAGGAAGAGAGTGATGTTGAGCAGCGATAGCACTCGCTGTAATGACTCCAGGTCGCCTGCCAACGAGGCAGGGCGAGGTGCACAAGGCGGGACCAAGGAGAAGAAGGTAGGGAATCTGGCCAATAACAAAGGGATAAAGCTGTGGTGAAGCAGGCACGTGAGAGAATGTGCAAGATGCAGAGGATGCAGGTAGAGTGCACGAGGGCATAGAAGGATGAATGGGTGAGAGCATGAAGAGGAGAGGCCGGGGTGGGCAGGGGGGAAAGAAGCTGGGAGGAGGAGAGGGCAGGGCAGGAGGCGTTACCCCAGAGGAATGGGCTGCTTGGACAGTGGGGGGGGGGGGGGGGGGGGGAGGGTGGCTTGCGAGGGCACCTGAGGTGACGGCGGTCCAGAGGTGTGATTGGTTGGCCTGGGATAGCTGCATGATGGCTTTGACACTGCCCTGTAGCACACTCACTACCTGTACACGCACGTGCACACCCCCCCATGCACTCACGCATGCACACACACATGCGCGCGCACGCATTCACACACATATTTACAACCACCCACACACGCACGCACGCACACACGCACACACGAGGGTGCATACTGGATGACACATCAACCCAGCACCATGCTGCGCCACCCAGCATTCCCCTCAAAAGAAATAAATGGGTGCACACTCCAAGCATGCTGGCGCTGTAAAGCCAGGCTTGCACCTCACCATGCCCCCTCAAGTCAACCACATGGGTGTGTGCATGTGTGGAGCGTGCATGTGTGGTGCGTGCATGTGTGGTGCGTGCATGTGTGGTGCGTGTATGTGCGGTGCGTGCACGTGTGGTGCGTGCACGTGTGGTGCGTGCATGTGTGGTGCGTGCATGTGTGGTGCGTGTATGTGCGGTGCGTGCATGTGTGATGCGTGAATGTGTGGTGCGTGAATGTGTGGTGCGTGCATGTGTGGTGCGTGCATGTGTGGTGCGTGAATGTGTGGTGCGTGCATGTGTGGTGCGTGCATGTGTGGTGCGTGCATGTGTGGTGCGTACATGTGTGGTGCGTGCATGTGTGGTGCGTGCATGTGTAATGTGTGCATGTGTGGTGCATGCGTGAGCACGTGCCTGCTTGAGAGCGTGCATGTAGGTGTGCGGGAGCGTGTCAGGGTGGTCCAATGGCAGCAGCATGTCTTATGGGTACGAGCGAAAGTGCACCTGCACAGGGGGGTAGGGACAGAGGTTGGGACGGGAGGGAAGGCGAAAACATTGACAAAGGTGAAGAAGAGCATGCAGAGGGATGGTGATCAGACGGGGGAGATGATGAGGAGGGGGGATTGATGAGGACGGGGGGATGAGGAGGAGGGGGAGATGATGAGGAGGGGGAGAAAATGAGAAGCGAAGGTGCAAGTGAGTGAGGCATGTGGGCGAGTGCAGGTGATGTCAATGAATAAAGCACGGAACAGGGTGGCTGACCGTGAGGTTCCAGGGCAGCTGTTGCTCGGGGCACAGCAGGTCGAAGAGCACTCCACACCAGATGTTCCTGGCACACACACACACACACACACACACACACACACACACACACAACACACACACGCACGCACGCACGCACGCACGCACGCACAACACGCACGCACGCGCACGCGTGCGCACGCACGCGCACGCGCGCGCACGCACGCACGCGCACGCACGCGCACGCACGCGCACGCACGCGCACGCACGCACGCACGCACGCACGCACGCACACGCACGCACACACGCACACGCACGCACGCTCGCACACGCACACGCACACGCACACGCACACGCACACGCACACGCACACGCACACACACACACACACACACACACACACACGCACACACACACACACACACACATACACACACACACACACACTCACACACACACACACACACACACACACACACACACACACACACACACACACACACACACACACATACACACACACACACATACACACACACACACACACACACACACACACATACACACACACACACACACACACACACACACACACACACACACGTCAAAACGCCACGTTTTGACGCTTGACGCTTCAATCCGTTTTGACGATTGACACTACTGGTGATTTTTTTTGGCAGCCCGATTTCGAAAGAAAAGAAAGTAAAAAAAAAAGCTGGAATCGAAATTCCGCGCTCAAAACGCGACCCGCCAAATTGAACTCGACATTTTGAGGCCCCAACCAAACCAGCACCCAAATCACCCTCCACCCCTTTGAAACTACTCAACCCAACCCATCTCCTAGTACTTCACCACAATTCTCCTTTGGAAACCCCATGCATGACTGCCCCACATGTCCTACAACTCCTGCCCCACCAGCCCCTCCAAACTCTCTTACTAACCCCCCTGTTCCCAGTTTTTTTTTACCCCTGCCCTTGCCTGCCCGCTAGAGCATCAGACTGGGTACCCGTGACCAATCATTCTTGCTTCACTCCCGGACACTTTCCAGCATAATTGCAGGTCCGTTAACTCACAGATGACATCTTTACATTAAATAAATATGCTCATTTTGGGCGTTTGTAGCCCGGAGACACGGAAACATCCGCACCGGTATAGAAAATGAAGCATGCCGTTTTCTGTCGTGGGTACCCGTAACCAATCATTCTTGCTTCACTCCTAGGCACTTTCCAGCATAATTGCAGATCCGTGAACTCACCAATAACATATATACATTAGATAAAAACGCTCATTTTGGGCGAGGAGGGGCGAGCAACAACACACGTTCACAAAAGCGTGGGGGCTCCAAGCCTGAATGTAAGGTTCGGATGGTGTGTGATTGGCAAACGAGGCAGCAGGCTTGGGAGAGGTTCAGAGGGGAGTGGTGGGAGCAGCTAAGTGCGACATGGACTGAGTGGCCTGGGCAGGGCAAGGCAGAGACGAGGGGGGAAAGCGGAGGGACGAGTGGAAGGCAGGGAGGAGGGGAGGTGGAGGATGGAAAGAGTGGTTTTGGTGTGGGCATAGTGGGTGAGGGGGGCGTGGGGGGCGTACAAGAAAGGGGGCAAGGGGAGGGAGTGGGAGCAGAGTATGCAGGGTGGGAGGAGCAGTAGGTGCGATCGCTGCTAATGCTGGACAAGTTTGGGCTCACCCACCCGCCCGTGCTGGCCCTCATAGAGGGGCAGAGCGGTGCTCAAGGCTAAGTTGGTCATTTAAGTTTACGTGTACGTCGTTTTACGTTACGTACGTGTACGTGTACGTACGTTTACGTAGCTGACTGATTTTGCCTTAACGTACGGGCAGCTGAAAATGTTTTTTGATCTGCCCGAATATGAGTTTATCCTTCTTAGTACTCCCTTGTTACTAAGAAGGATCTGCAGGGGCGGTGCCGTGGCCGTGCCCCCCGGTGCCGTGGCCGTACCGTGAGAAGCCGCGCATCGTCATCGTGGGGATGCGCGCTACCGAACCAGCACCCGCCGCATCCCATCCTCGCCGCACTGCCCTCACTGTTTGTTGTCGCCAATGGACTCGTCTCTGGGCGGCATGCTCGCTTAGCTGCGCCACGTGGCTGCTGTTGTGGCTAGACGGGCAGCAGAACAGGTGAGGATTTGTTATCGACGCGCCCCTCTGTTTGTGCCACACGCATGTAACTGTGCTGACATGGCACATGACATCACACGGTGCGCATGTGATTCTTCCTGGAGATTTCATCCTGACCATTCCGCATCCAGACAACTCTTCCCACCCGTCCCCAATTGACAGCGCCACCGCCTTCTCCTCACTGCGTCCCGTTAAGATCCTCATTCGGGTGTTGTCAGTTGGCCTCGTGGACTCCCGCCCTCCATACCACTCCGCCAGTGAAATCTGGCCACGTGGATATCATGCAATGTAAGAGGACCCTTTAGGGGGGCTGTGCCATAGCGAGGTGGTGCAGGGGGGCATCGAGGGCGAGGGGGCAGGGCATGGGGTGGATGGTGTTATAGTCACAATTGGCTTGAATGTGCCTAAAACGAAAGATAGAGTGCACAGTTAGATTTCAGCACAGCGGCTTCAAACGTTCATAGAGTTCTTTTCACAGATCCAAATAACATGCTATAAAGTGGATCTGGCGCGTCTTGATGTCGCCTACAATAGGCAATTTTAATCGCACGATTTCATCAAGTATTGACGACGCAACGTCGGTTTGAACGAACGGCACTATGGCAGCCACTATAGTCTTAGAACACAAATTATGAAGAGTTACGAGTTGGGAATGCCTCCCACCCTCTACAAACCCCAAGAGCCGAGGTACAGTAATGTGGAACAGTGCAAACTATCCCCAACCAATAAGGCTCTCGAAACTACCCTCCACAAGGGCCTACACCAAGAGAAATGTTACACTACATATTGTAATGTAAATATTCTCACTATCTTTAAGTTTACCCTTTTGGCGAGCTTCGAAATCACTTAGATTTTGAAACCAAGGCTCTGGTTTGTCACCATAAACTCATCCTTGAGTTCTTGAATGTCTGTTGCTCACACCTGCGACACGCCGAACGTTCGACACACGACAAAATAGAAAACGCGCACGGCACACAAACGACGACGTGACAAGCGAATATCAATATCTTGCTATTGACTTGACACACACATTTGACATCATGACTCATCATTCACACACTATTATAAGCATAAATTAAATATTATCTCATGCCCTCATACCATTCCATGCACACACGCATGCCCTACAAACCGTAGGGTTGCACCAACAAACTCCCCCTCAGATTGTTGGCCTGAGTATCTGCTCCTCTCAGTTCAGAGCCATCCCAGCCAGCTTGCAACACTTCCAATGCTGCTGTTCCACCAGCCTTTTCGTCATCATGTCAGTTGGCTGCCCCGTCGTCTTCACGTAGTGCAAATCAACTTCACCCGCGGCCACCATGCTCCTCGTCCAATGCCATTTCACCCTCATGTGCTTGGTGAGGCCGTGCAACACAGGGTTCTTAGGGCGTGTAACTTTGTACCGACCAACCCAAAAATACGACCATTGGGCGGCTCTGACGATTGCGAAACAAATGGGGTAACATCCTACGTGGTAGTCACACTGACTAGAGAAAACTTTCAGGTGCTATTTTCATCTAATTTTGTGTCACGGACTTACGCGACCTGTACTACTACTAGTCCTGGGCAGGGGAAGTGTTGTGACTTCCAGTTATTTCCTCCGAATTTGTTTCGATAAGGCCTATGAACTTGCTAAACACTACTCTCTCTCTTTGCCCCGTATATTCCACACTCCATCCGAATGCTAAAACTTGGATTCAACCTTTGAATTATAAATACGGGGGTAGTTAAGGGTGGGTGCCCCACAGCTCGCGAACAGAATGGTCATTCTGTTCGAAATGTGTGGCGGGGTTCGTTCAGACGTTACACCATTCGCACTCGCATGACCCAACCATTTGGTCGGATTTTAGGCATGGTCACTACAAAG